GGTTTATTTGTGATGATCTTGAACATAAACTGCATCGTGAGGAAGTATTAGTTTTGATTCCTCTGTCTTTATAAGATATCGATCTCGGTTTTCGACTGAATGTCCCTTTCTCTGGATTTTTAGGTTCGGAGTATATGAGCGTAGCTCAGCCATTTTCTTTGCAAACCCTCCCTTTCGGTCCATGGATGCGCGCTCAATTACACAATGTCCTTCATATTTCTCGAGTTGTTCCTATACCTTTTCTCAATGTGGACTTGGACTTATCGTCCTTTAGGTTTTCCAAGCCCGTGGAATACGCTCTGTCTTTATTCTTAAACGAGCCGGTAAACTTTGCTTTTTGACTTCGTGCTGTTGATCTTTATCTGTTAGATAGGTTCCTGAATGTGTGCCAGCTGAGATTCGATCCAGCTGTGCATTGTGTTATGAAAAAAGTTGCTTCGGTAGTTTTCATGAAGACAATTGCGATCAATCATTGTTTTCAATACAATGGCGCTGTAATGGTCAGCGGTCGTTTGTGCTGAGCCGGTCAGCGGTCGAGGGAGAACGTTTTGACTACGTTTTTGTGTATGTTTTGTAAGAAACGATAGCGGATTTTCGAAGTATTCGAGGAAATAATGTTGAGTTAACGAGAATTTACAGAACGAAGAAATTAGCCGCTGGATATTACGTGTCGAGCTATACGCCGCATCACAGGGCTGGGACGACAAGAAAACAGCTGGAAAGGCAGCTCTCAATTTGCCAAACGACAAATTAGATGTGCTCCTGGCGTTATCAGACGATGATCGAACAAGCTGGAAGAAAATCAAAAAGATTTTAGTTAGTGAGTTTCAACCCTCGAAGGAAAATAGCGAAGAGTTATTCCTTAACAGAGTGAAAAAATACGGTGAGTCGTATCTTGTCTATTCTAAACATTTGGAGCGACTTTACCGAGAATCCTTTGGTCTAGCATCTGATGTTAAGTTAAACGAACAATCACTAGAGGCGATAAAGCGTCAATTTTTAAGAGGCATCACACAGGAGATCTCCCAGCGGCTCAAATTGCATAATCCTGCTGATCCCCTCAACCTTCTTGTCACGAGAGCAAACGAATTCGAGGAAATCTTAATCCGTCCGAACAGTGTACGTAGTGTTAATTGTGACACTAGAGTTTCATTTGAAGAACTTCAAAACGAGGTTAAAGAGCTAAAGGATATGGTAGCCGCCCTGTCAACAACACCCAGCCCAAATGAAACCACGACATTGCAGGTAGACGCCATCGCTTCCCCTCGTCATCAAGTACCTACTAACCGCCGAGGTCGGGGGGGTTCGCGACCACGTCAAACGGTCTGTTTTACTTGTGGAAAAGATGGTCATTTTGCCCGAAATTGCCCTGATGGTCCTAAGTCATCCAAGAGTATTGAATGTCATAATTGCGGAGGGCGCGGTCACTTGGCCAGACAGTGCTCCTCGCCACCTTTAAACTAAATAGTGTTGACGTGGAGGGGCACACGTCAACATTAAATACGGCCTCGACAACGCATAAACAAACATTGCACGTGGGAGGTCATATTGGCAAAACCCCGTGCACGTGGCTCGTCGACACTGGCGCCGATGTCACTTGCGTCAGTGCACAGCTTCCAGGAGTAAACAAACTGGCAGTGGAATCAACCAGATCAAAACCGTTAGCGGCAAATGGCTTGCATCTTAATGTGGTCGGAGAGACAACAGCTTCTATCAAGATCGGACATCCCCCAGTAAGGATCCTAGTTGTCGACAAACTAAATTTTCCCGCAATTCTCGGTCTAGACGTCTGTCGACGTTATGATAACATGGCCGTCGACTGGAAACAACAATTGCTTCACCTAGGGGGTCACCAAGTTTCCCTTGAAAATAGATTTTTGGGGTCACCAAGACAACCCACAGAGGTGTGTTTAGTGTCAGACACTGTGATTCCTCCCCGCTCACAGTGTTTCGTCAATGCAGCCTCTAAGGACTTTGGAGCGTTACCACAGGACACCTTATTTACTCCCTACCAGGAGAAGATGGCMAGACAAGATGTTCTGTTGGGATCAGGCGTGGTGGTGAGAGACTCAGGAAATAGGATTCCGGTGCTCGTCATGAACAACAGCGAGTCCCCGGCTAAGCTTTATGGTGGAACATCAATCGGTCAACTCTGCACAGTGTTGGTTGAAGAGAAGGACGAAAATACGTGGGCACCGAAACCTCCCCTAGGACGTGGGCCAGTGAATGTAGATCTACATGATAGCTGCCTATCTCTCCAGGAAAGAGAAAAGGTTCAGGGATTGCTTAGTGACTTTCGTGATGTATTCGCGAACAACGAGTTTGAAGTGGGACACACGGATAAAGTACAGTTCAAGATCAACACGGGAGAACAGCCCCCGGTAGCAGTGAAGTTGCGTCGCACCCCATTTAGTCTTCGAAACGAAGTGGAAAGTCAGATTCGAGCAATGGAAGAGAGGGGTGTTATTCGTAAATCAACGTCACCTTGGTCTTCTCCGATTCTTCTAGTTCCGAAGAAAGATGGGCGTACCGGTTTTGTGCTGACTTCAGAGCCCTAAATGATGTCACGGAGACAGAAATTTTCCCTCTACCATCCATCAGAGAGTGTTTAGATTCCCTAGGAGGATCAGCGATGTTTAGCACCTTAGATTTCCACAGTGGGTATTGGCAGATCCAAATAGACCCCAAGGACAGGGAGAAAACAGCTTTCACAACAGAGTCAGGTCATTGGGAGTTCATGGTTATGCCCTTCGAAGTCAAGAATGCACCCGCCGTTTTCTCACGGCTCATGTCAGACGTCGTCATGAGAGGATTATCATGGAACGGCATTGCAATTTATCTGGATGACATCATTATCGGTGGAGCAAGCTTCGAGGAACATCTTAAATTGTTGAAGGATGTATTCGTGCGTCTACGTGATGCTGGACTTACAGTCAAGAGTTCAAAGGTCCACCTTTGCCAGAGGACACTGCGATTCCTTGGACATATAGTCTCAGTGGATGGAATATCACCTAACCCGACCATTCGAGTTAAGCACAGACGCCTCTGACACCGGTTTTGGCTGTATTCTATCACAACGTGACAACTACGGAAGAGAACGACCAGTACATTATGTCTCCAAAACATTTACTAACAGTGAGCTCTCGTGGCACACTAGAGATAAAGAAGCATTCGCTTTCATATACGCGCTACGAAAATTCAGACACTACCTTCTCGGGAGGAAGTTCACACGGTATACTGATCATCTTGGACTTCGCTGGCTACGAAACACAAAGGATCCAAGGGGTCGGTATGCACGATGGATAGAAGAGATAAAAGAATTTGACTTTGACATTTTTTACAGACCTGGCCAAGACAATCCACATGCTGACGCTCTATCCAGAAGGCCAGATGTGCAGTGCGCTGCTGCGGTACGCTTGGACACTGGTTTCTCGGTCGGAGAGATCCGTAAACAGCAAGCAACAGACGCGGTCCTCGGGGAAGTCATCCAGCATCTCAGGCTAGGAGAGAGGAGTAAGCAAGTGAAGTCAAACCCTGAAGTGACATGGTGGATGAAGCGAAAGGACAGTCTGTTCCTCGACAACCGAGGAATACTTTGCATTAAGTTTCGTCGTGGAAAGAAACTAGTGAACCAATTAGTAGTACCCGAACGCCTCGTTCCCGAAGTTCTACGGCTCAAGCACGATGACGCAGGCCACATGTCTGCCATGAAGACTAAGAAACTGATCCTTAGGGAGTACTACTGGATGACCGTTAACGCTGACGTGAGCAAATACTGCCAAACATGTTTCACTTGTGCCAGATGTAAGGACCCGCCTAAGGGGCACAGCTCGGACAGTACAATTACAAGCCAACCCTGCGAACCATGGCAAGAAATCTCACTGGACCTCAAAGGGCCGTTTGGAACACAGCCTACGCGAAAAGGAAATAGATGTTTACTCGTTGCGGTGTACTTGTTCACATGGGCTGCAGAGATGGTTCCAATCCCCGATAAGACAGCAAAGTCAGTTGCCGATGCACTAATTACATAAGTCTTCTGTCGACACGGAATGCCAGAATCTATCTTGACAGATAAAGGACTAGAATTTGATAACTCCGCTATGACTGTCCTCGCTCAAGAGTTGGGTTTCGACAAGAAAAGAATAAGTGCATTACATCCCCAAGCAAACGGTGCTGTTGAGAGACTGAATAGGACGATCGATCAAATGCTGAAGAAGGAACTGGACGACAGCGACCGCGAGTGGGACCTCAAGATACCCTATGTACGTTTCAACTACACTAACTAGGTACATTCCTCACTTGGACAGTCTCCATTTTTCATGATGCACGGGAGGCACCCGCGGACGCCGGCTCTGGTGGAAGAAAGCACCCTACGCAAACCTTCATCACCACCACAGTGGGCTAGTGAGCTCGCGAGAACTCTAAAGGAAGCTCACTCTGCTGGAGTTGCCTGTGATACACGGTTGAAAAAAGAAGATGTAAAGATGCAAACCAACCCGTGCAAAAGTTTCACATCGGCGATGAGGTATTGATGTTTTCTCCTCAAAAGAGCGGACAGGTGAAGTCTCTCCATAAAGCCTGGAAAGGACCTTTCATCGTTATACAGCAACAACAAGGAAACACGTACCGAGTGAAAAACGCTCACAACTTCAGACAGAGGTTCATCCGCCACTGTGACCAGCTGCGGCCTATTTATAAGCGCCCCGCAAGACTTAATGGCGAGCCTGAGAACAAGCCATTGACTGGTGACAGTGTCCAAAGAACTGACACACCCCGACAGACCAGTGGGCCAATAGCGTTTGATGCAGAGTTCGTTGAAGAGAGCGACGAAGAAGAAGATGGAGAAACTGTGCCAGCGGGGAAGGAAGTGCAGCCTCCAGCAATCTCGAGCCCAGAGTCTTCACGGCTAATGTCAGCGGTATGCTGACGCCGGAAAGACTCTGGAGGAATCGACTGGATTTGCGACGCTTTTCCGTCGCAAATTATGCAAATTAGGTCAGTTTTGTTTCTGCCGCTTTAGAGCATCAAAATGACAAAAAAGAAGAAGGTTTAGCACACAACTTAGTTTAGGAACAGTATTGACACCTTTTTAAAAACACAAATGTGTGAAAACATGCGTAGTTATACGATAAAAGTATGATATTTTTGATCAAACAGGCGAGCGCGCGCTGGCGACTTGAAAAACCGATTTGAAAACAATGCGCGCTCGCGTCATTTTCAGCCAATCACGAATCGAGAAAAAATTGTTTCCTCCAGAGTCTCTCACGCATTGACATCCGCTGGATGGCAAAAGTGTGGGCTCTGGGTACGAGATTGAGCCTCCAGCAGAGCAAGATGGGCTGCGACGAAGCCAACGACCAAGGCGTGTGCCTCAACGCTATGGAGAATGGGTCGACTCATTAGGAGTTGCACCTTTATATAGTGACATTCTAAAACGTGGACTGAAAGCTTATTCATTGTAAGGGGGAAGAGTGTAATGGTCAGCGGTCGTTTGTGCTGAGCCGGTCAGCGGTCGAGGGAGAACGTTTTAACTACGTTTTTGTGTATGTTTTGTAAGAAACGATAGCGGATTTTCGAGGAAGTATTCGAGGAAATAAAGTTGAGTTAACGAGAATTTACAGCGCCATTCGAGTGAAGTCGACTCCCTGGCCTTCTTGTGCTTGACTTCGCAACCTACCATGCTTATTTTGGCAAGTTTGGACTTCTGAAAAGAGCAATTTATATAAATTTTGTGGGTAGAAGCGAATGACTTGGCACTTTAAAAGACACTTTAAATGGGGAGCGTGGAACTCCCTGTCGAAACAATACACCGTTACCCACAATTCTTCTCCTTTGAAGTTCGAAGAAACCCTTGATTTCGGGACTTCAACTTATCTGCCCTCGGCTTCGGGGACATTTAATCCCTAATCTCCCTCAGAGCCATGCTATTACTTATAAAAAGTAACTGGATTTCAAAAGATTGTGACAATAAAAGTTTTAAACATTTTTTCAGTAAAATACGATCATCTCTTGTGATAAAGAGTTGATTTTTTCATAAAGTAAATCATATGGTAAAACATGCTCTTATCTGAAAGCTTATTGTTGCCTTAATAGAGTCATCTTCCTGTGGGAGCGCTTGGTACCAAGYTGGGMAATCCTGCTTCGTCTTTATCACGAGTGATTCAAATTGGAAAGAGCAGACATTGTTAAATTATAACAGGAAATGTGCAGAMCTAAATAGCAAGCTGGCCAGTGTTGTTACTGGACAGGAGKCACAGATTTTGTTTTCACTTTCTCAAACCTTACAAATACCCAATTTGGAATTTGTCATGGACATTGGAAAAAACATGAGATGGCAGTGGACAGATGGCTCGTTGCCTTTCTCTTACTTTTGGGGAGATAACAAAGAAAATAATCACAAACGTTGTGGAGCAATCTCGAGAGAAAAAATGGATGGGATTKCTGTTGACTGCTCAACACCTAATGCCTTCATCTGTGAACAATTSTTAGGTTTGTATGCGCCTCTTTTTTATATAAAATCATATCCTGTACTTTTCAAATGTCTCGGTAAAGCTGTTGTTTATATGGAGGTCTAATCGCATATTTTAATGACTCCATTCGCACACGATAAAGAARTATATTACTTTTTCCTTTACAAGTAGTATAGTCATTGGCCCCGTGGTTAAGCTAATCAGAGTTAGTATTACTTCCCTAACTCTTCCCTAGCTTAATTAAATTTCTTGATGGCAAGATGGATGATTTTCTTGCAATATGATATTTGCATTATACATAAACGGACATCAAGTGGCAATGAGCGCTTGTACTCCGTGTGTTGATCCGTAAAAGATTCTTAAAGAAATTATGCAGATTTCCTAGAAAATTTTCTAGAAAATTATCAAAGTCATAATTCTTTCAATTTTTTGCAGATTTTCCACGACCAGTGGCTGTATATCCATTGCATTCTTCAATTGGATTAATTGATCCGCCCAATAAAGGAGAAGCTTATAACATATCGAATTCAGATTGGTTGAATGGATCTTATTACTTCCATGGATTAGCGAACAGCTTCATTCATATTGATCATAATGGCACACTTGATCTCATGTACTCTATAACAATCACTGCGTGGATATTTCCTCAGGGAAATTCAGGATCTATACTCAACTACAGAAATGGGACCGGTATAGAAATGTTTGATCAAAAATACCTTTTCGGAGAATTAGTATTTAAAGASCACAAATATTACACAAGAGAATACCTAAAGCTATCAGGCTTGGAAAATGRAACTTGGAACTTTGTTGGCATTTCGTACGATTTTCTGACAGGATATGGCAAGCTGTTTATTGGGAATAAGAGTACGTCAAGAAAAATTGGCAATAGAAAGTTATTGGCTACTGACAATGTTATTCAAATTGGTTCCTCTTTCAAAGGTGGAATATCTCAAGTTCTGTTTTATGATGTTTCTTTGAACAACTCGGAAATACTTCAATCCATGGAACGTTCAATGGACTTGGGTAAGAATATTTTTGATCTTCCGGAAAAGGTGTTTTGTCTTAATTTCTCCGGAAAAGGTGTTTGTCTTAATTTTTTATCATCTGATCATTATGCCTCTTAGAATTTTTCTATTCTATGTAATTTGGATCGGTTTTACAAAGATCGAATAGTGTCATCCAACGGAACTCATTAATTATATAAATGTTCAAACGCTACAATCCATTGTTTTTCCTCCAGTTGGAGCTGCATTCCCACGAAATGCAAGGTGTCTATTGAATATAAGTAGAACAATAGTGTTTATGTAAGAGTTCTTAAAATTCCAGTATAGTCAACGTTTGACTAAATAGCATAATGGCAAGGTAATTTATGAAAAACAAAGGGTTGAGAGTTAGAGACCATAGAATTGAATTTAATGATTATTTTTTTAAACATATAGAAATCCTTGGCTTCTACAATTTGAGGAAATTTCGACTTTCGACTATTTCTGTATAAAAAGGCGAGGCTACAACAAATTAAGGAGCTGATGTACGTTGAATTCAAGCTTCAAAACCTATCACGAGTATTTTCTCAGAATCTAGAACTTAACGAAAAAAAAGGTTGTCGATTCTGAAAGATGTCTATTCAAACTATGAAAGCATGAAGTCATAGATTATGACGGAATGAAGAAAAAAACTACTTCTACTAAAATTTCATTCCTTCAAAAGAAAAATCATCCCAATGGATGGAATTTTGGACTAGAACTAATATTACATGCATTTGAAATTCCGGTCATTGTCGCATTACTCATTGTTTAACCTTATTTGTATCCACCCTTCCTACGTACAACTGGACCTTTTGTACGATTTGAAGAGAACTATGATTGTAATAAATTCATACTCACTTGTTCAAATCAAATAATTTGCAAATGATGACTTTTTAAATGATTTCAGAAAAAATAACTTGCAATGGTGGATTCGTTCCAATTCTAGGAAGATGCTTCTATTTTGTTCATTCAAAGGTCGATCAAAATGCTGCTTCTCAGAATTGCAGTAATCATCAAGCCAGACTGGCTGTAATTGACAGAATATATATTAAGAAAAGCATCACTTCATATCTTCAAAACTTCACATATTTCATTGGCCTTACCAAAGAAAAGTTTGTATCAGAAAGTATTGATGCCAGCAAAACCAAGAACCTTACACAAAGCAATTTGCTTCGCATAGCAAGTTACAAGGATATCGTGGGTAATAAAAATAATCGCTTATCACTTTTAGGAATTTGCAGAAAGAACGAAAGTAAGTTCACCCTTCATCATAGACATTTTTGTTATTTATATAACCATATTTTGTAAAGGAAAATGGTATCAATTTAGGATTGATAAGAGGATATATTACTAAGACATTAAACGGCATTATTCTTCCTTTTTGGTGCGTCAAAAAAGAGTATGACGGAATTTGGACAGTTGTCTGAATGCTGATTATGTGACCATCTATGTGCCTCCAGCCTTTTCAAATTATCCTGTAAAATTATGTTGAATAACATATAAGCTAAAAACCTGCATGATCTTCAAAATAGAAGTGATTATGATTAGCTCTCAATTTTCGCATTAATTAATTGTTATTGAAGTTTCAAAGTAATGATGCAGTGAAAATTTGTCATTGTTTTACATGATTTAAGTGAACAGAGCATTCAATAGTGCAGTAAAGTCTTCAAATTCACAAGCTGGATTCGACTCAAGACATGCAGTAGATGGAATGTTGGAAACGTGCTTCATTAGTTCAGTGAGTTAAATTAAGGATGACATTTAAAATCTCGAAAAAGTATTAACTCATTGATCATATACACGTATCGACAGGCAGTAAAGGCATATCTCCAAATAGAGTTGAGAGAATCCTTGCGCATTCATAAAGTTAACATCATAAGTCATGACGATTGTTGTAACATTCAACGCCGCTTCCAAGTAATAGCAACAGATATCCAAAACAGACAAGAATATTGCATTCGGACTGGAAAAGGAGAATTTGATGAGCACTTCATTTTTAAATGCTCTCCATGGAAACGTACAATACAGTTAAAAGTAAACGCTTCAGACTTGAATTTTTCTTTTACAATTTGCGAAGTAGAGATTTTCAGTATTGGTGAGTATTCCATTCCAAAGTCTTTTAATCATATTAATTTAACATGATTTAATAAAACCACCAAGGCTCAAAAATACACGGAACCTAATACCAGAGAAATTTATTATTATTAACAAAAAGCTGCTCCAAATATATGATATACAGCTATTTCAAAAAACGTTGTCGGGGAGAACGGCAAACGGTGACTGTCGAAGGAAGATTGCACAACCGAAAGGAACTATGGTTACACTGTATTGATAAACAAAATCTCACTTATTGGATTCACCTTACATAGAAATTGAGACCAAATGGAGCCACTGTTTACCACAGACCATCTTACAGTACAAATCAGTTGTTATTGCCTTGGCTACTTTCGGTCGCGCAATCGCCGTTCGACGATTGACATTCGGCATTTTATCCATAGTTACTAACTATGTTTTATCCGACAACCTTTTTTGAAATAGCTATAAATTAGTTTTTCTGTGACATTTCCTCTCCTGGATTCTCGTCTTTGAAATAACTATTATTTTGTTGACTATTGTCTCTCAAGGACCATAAAGCCATTTAGCTTTCGAAAATATTTTATAACAAACCCTTGATAGCTGCAAGTACAAATAAGTGACACCCAGAAAGACAGATTGATATCTTTCGTTTAACGATGTCATTCGAGTTATGAATGAATTAAGATTTATAAGCGTGCATAAACGATTCATCACATAGTGAAATAATAGATTCTATTTTGATATCTAAAATATGTTTATTCATTGACTTTGAAGACATAACTTTAAGTATGGTTATATATTTATTGGTTTAGATGATCTACATGGCGTCACTCAACACGTATGGCTATTGCCAACAAGAAATCTAAATTTTGACAATTTTATGAAACAAAACACTATTTCACTTAATCCTGACTTCACGGATGCGATACATGATTTCAGTGCACCTCAGAATGTCCTTGACAACTTCGGTCAACACTTGACGGCGTATATGCAGGTATGTAACCGAGAAAGAAAAAAAGATACACAAATTGTTAAAGAAATGAATAATTGCAATGATGAATACACATACGAACTCAGGTGGCTCACTGGAACATTTGGAGCGCTATTCAGGGGAGAGCCACATTTTTTCTACAGATTTATTCCTTCGGGTTCATGCAAATTTAGTGCGCTCCTCGAGGTTTTAGCTCGTTGCTGTAAATTAATAACAAACACCGAAAATAGTCTGTCAACCATTTGGGATTTAAAAAAAATACTAAAATTTTAACAATCTCAGCGTTTGCAAACCTTTAGATATCCTCAACTTGCGGTCACAATCAATGTCACAATCACTTTTAAAAAATGGCAAAGAACTACATTTAAAACAGAACAATTTTTGCATTAAATTTGAACTTTTAAAATCAGGCAGGCAAAGTATATATTATGCAAACTTTGGCTTTAATGTTTGGATCAGTATACATCAGTTAAATAGAAATCAAATCAAATCATTGGAAAACATGGCATATAAAGTATTTATTGTTCTTTTGATAGGTTCCTGAAAGTGGGTTCTATACATTTTATCTAAATTGTGACGACAAATGCAAGTTAATTTCCAGAATAACACACGATGTCATTCTGACTCAGCATATAATAACAATACTTGAAATTGAACGCGCGAAAGAAGCAACAACCGAAGAGAAGATGTAAGTTCATTTTAGAAGCAAGAAATGTCTTCGTTACTACGTTATAGAATTAAAAATACAACTGCCCTCTTAACTAGTTTGACATTTTAAACAAGAGAAGCAGGCCCATAGGCTAGGATTTGGGGAGCTCGCACATATTCCATCCACAAACAAAAATGTCCTGTCCGGATTTTTAAGAAAAAAACGGATCGGAAATTTTTGAAACCTCCGGCCTTCCAGCAGAAAAACAATTTCGGCATTACGATCGAATCTTGTCTGACCAAAGGATCGATGTCCTATTATGATTTAGAAGATTTCGCCATCTTTTTTTTTTTGAAATTTCCAGATGGTAGAGATCATTCCTACTGAGTAACCAGATCCCGCTTCTCAGTTATGGGTGCAGCTACGGGCCTGAGAAGAAAAAGACTTAAGATGTAATATTCTTATCATAAGTACCCTCTTGATTTCTTTTTGAATTTATAGGCATTTGTAAACTCTGGATGCT